GGTGCGCACATGCCCCCTATAGAAAAAACCTCAAAAAAAAAAAAAAAAAAAAGCTCATTTAGAGACAAGTTTGGTGAGCTGCAAGGCTGGTCTCCTAGGTAGTTCTCTGTTCATGGGTAATAAAATCTTACAAGTGGCTGTTGGCCAGATTAGTCATCCTGAGGTTCCAGAGGGTCACGGCCACTAGAAGTCTGGGTAGGGGCTTCGCACTGGTCTTGCTTAGAGATACAGAGGCAGCCCCTCTAGTCATCCAGACCTGGGTTTCCATCATTCATCATTTTCATGCCCACTTCGTGAATTTCGCAACTCCAAGTGCCACCTATGCAGTCCCCCTTCTCCTCGCCCACCTCTCCATGACTCCTGTCACACCTCTGCTGACAAGTTTCTGGCCCCAGGCACCTCGGATCAAGGGAGGGGGCAGCAGAGAAGGGACTTTCCACCCTGAAATATTCAATAGGTCCTGCTGCCAGCTGGTGAGCAGCCCGGGCATTGGGGCTCTGTCTTAGGGCCCTACCCAGTGTCTTCTTAGTCCCCATGACCAAGAAGGAGACATGATCACCTCTCAGGAGCAGAGGGAGGCCATTGCTTAGCCAAGGCTCCAGCTGAGAGCAACCTTGACTAGACCTGACCCGGCCGGGCCTCCAACTCCACAGCTTCTGGAGTCTCAGGTACAAGCTCGCTGCCCTGAAGTGCTCTTAGGCTCGCTCATCCTTGTGTTTAAACCCAGAATGTCCCCGTGAAACCGAAGCCACAGAGCCCGTCTCCTGAGACCTTCTATGGTTAACACACTGTTTCTTCATGTCCTTGGGCTTCAAGTTCCCTCTTCTGGAAGGAGATATAGAGAACAGCACAACTATCTCAGTGGGAGGGACAGGGGTGATTGGCCCAGGGAAGAGGGTGAACAGTTTGCTGTGTATGTGCACATGTATTTGTGTGTATGTATGTATGTGTGCATGTACTGCTGAGGCCCTAGGAACAGAGCTGGAGTGCTAATCCTTGGAGGCAGTAGATGGCATAACCTACACACAGGACCAGGGGTTTGAACATTTGTCCTGGGCCCTCTGATCTCCCAGGGCCTGACCTGTCCACTTGGCCCATCTGGGACCCTGCAGTTGAAGTGCCTGTCAGGAAGTAGCTCTGGAATGACCACATATAGGAAATGGGGAACAGCAAAAGTTCTGCCTTGAATTTTTGCCAAAACCACTAACACTCTCTCCTTCTGGTCAGAGGCTGCTTGTGCAAAGTGAACTCCTCAGTGGCTGACAGGAGGCCATGGCTGGGACCTTTTGAGGGTACCGATTCTATACCAAATAACACACTGTGCTCTTCCCAAACGATGGATGCTAGTCAGGCTCTGGATCCCTGGGGGGCAAGTCATAAGGTCAGGGATGAAGTTTAGTGATCACTGAGTTCAACCACCTCGTATGGGGAAACAAGGCCCAAAGGAAGTGAAGAACTTACCGCTCCAGCATCCGTGTTCTGCAGTCAGGAGTTCTGAGGTTGGAGCAAGGGACAAAAGTGCCAAGCCAGGCCTCCTCGGTTTCACTCTCCCCTTCTAGTCCATCATGGCACTGACCACACCTCTTTCTCTAAGGCTGGCTTTCAGGGATCACTGTCAGGAAGCCCTGGCATGGAGTGACTCCAGCTGACCCTAGCCAGAGCCCTGTCTTAGCCACACAGGAGGAAGAGCTCTAACATGCTTCAAATTCCACCTTCCCCAACCCTAGGAGAGTGGTCAGCCAGCCAGAAGGACTGAGGTTTGAGTGTCCTATAATCCCAAAGGGTGTGACAGGCAATATTTCCATCTCCAGAGCAGAGAAGATCCCCTATTCCTTCTCTGCTTCCCCAGTGTCCATTTCCTTTCCTGGGAGACCACTCTTGGGCCATGCCGTTCAAGTGGAAATAATTCTCCTCCTGACCCCAAGAGAGAGCACATTATCCAGGCCTGGTACTTCTTCTGAAATCATTGGAAATAAGTCACATTGTTTTCTCCTGGTTGCCAAAATGGCGGAATGGAAGCCTGAAGCTGCTGGAGGCCAGCATGCCAAGGTAAAGATGAACTTACCCAAGAGAATGAAGCCATCCAGAGAAGCCCAGCTCATGGAGGCAAGAGCCTCACATAGTATTTGGGCCCCTGGATCCAACCAGACCTGAAGCCCTGGGCTTCTTAGGTGTGTGGGCCAGCACACATCCTTTTCTGTTTCGAATGTTGAGTGTTGTCGTTGGTGGCTTACACTGACAGAGCTGTGACTTGTAGCAGGAACAAGCAAAGTTCTCACAGGAGGCCTAGTGACTCCAAGAGGACCCCAGGCCCAGGGAAGGCAGAACACAACTTGCTGGACAGAGAGGCTCCTTACCTGTGCTGGTTTGGCCATGGTCTCAGGTTCTGCAGCAGAAACCACTGTGGAGAAGAACGAGAGCCGGTGAGATCCCCCCACACTCTGCTCCTTTCTCTTCTTCCCCTCCGTTTTCTCTCCCTGTTGTTTTCCAGTTACCTCCAGCTTCTGGGAGCCTTTCGGAGGACAATGGCTAGACTAGATGGATGGGAAAGGCACTTCCCAAAAGGGAGGTCATGACCACGACCACCTGACTCCTCCAGGCCATGCAGGGCACTTGCCGCAGCTAGCTTTCTTTCACCTAACTCTCACGGCAACCTTGCAGGCATCAGCGTCTCCCTGTCCATAGAAGAGGCTGGGACATCACCATATACAAGCCCGGGTTACACAGCTTAGGACTGAATTCAGCAGCTCCCAGAATCCAGAGTCCATATTACCTGCACCCCGTGTGTCCTCTGTCTAAGTCACCAAAATGCCTTCAGAGGGAACCCAGGGCTTCTCACTCTGCAAAGGATAAGACTCGTAGGGAAGCTTTAATTGCCTCCCTTCCCTGTAAAGGTTTGATTATTATTATTATTTTTTTAAGTAAAAACTGACAATCAAATTAATAGGAGGCAGGAGAGAAGCATTCAATAATTTATTATGTGCAATTATAAATGAGAGCCATACAAAATATGAAACTCAAAGAAGGGCCGGGTGACCGAAGGTTTTAGGCCTTATAATTTCGGGGTTCCTCTACAAAAGGAGGAGTGGGAAAAGATGCAAAGTATATCCTATGCCTAGGCAGGTAAGGAGCAGCACCCCCAAAAGCCTGCTGGCATCATCTGCTTACTTTACAGACAAAAAAAAAAAAACAACTTCTTTTCTTTAATTGCCAAAGGGCATGTGCACACCTGAGAGAGAGAGACACAGAGAGAGAGAGAGAGAGGCTGAGAGAGAGAAAGCACCTCACAATGGGGCATGGTCATGCCAGTCTCTTCTCCATGCTCCATGGACTGGAATTTTGAGCACACACTCACGTGCCCGGCATGTCTTTTCAGCTGCTGGAGCAAGATTTGCTGTACAGTCGGTCATTGGAATCTGGCTGCCTTAACCACCAGGCCACAGGGCCAGCCCAGACTTTTCTTTTTAACGCTAATTCTGTGTCTATATCCCCTCTAAATAGTCATCTTGAAATATGCCAAAGAAGGATATTATTTGATGGTGGCATATTTTGGCCTCCCACAACTCAAGGGGCTTCCCCACCTGCTGTGAATGTCCAAAGGACTCCCCTTCCTTAGCAGTCGGTAAACAGTTACCATCTCTTTGGAGGTGGGCACTGCTCTAAGCACTGAGGACACGGGGGAAATAAGATCTTCTAAACTCTGCTTTTCTGGAGCGTATGCTGTAATGGGATCAGGCCGTGATCAGAGCTAAGGAGAAAAGACAAGGATTGGCAGGAGAGTGACAGGGGTACACCTCAGAGGTAGAGTGGTCGCAAGCCTCAGGACCACACCTGGGACAGCAAGAACAGCCCCGAGCTGGAGGTAGCTGATGTGGCAGCTGTGAGTGGGAGGAGATCGGTAGGACACGGGCTCAGGTAGCCAGTGCCTGAGGCCACTTTAAAGATTGAGTATTTTTTTTTAATGGGACAGCACCACTGACGGGGGCGGGGATCTGAACAAAAAGGTCACATGATCTCACTGGCATTGAATAAGGACAGCTGACACAAGAATGTATGCAAACAAGGCAAATAGGTAATGGGCTGGCACACCACAACAGAGCAAAAAAAAAAGGGCATTGCTAAACACACACACACACACACACACACACACACAGTCGCCAAGAAAGTCATGACACATTTTAGCACAGAAAAACACATCATGACTTTCCCCACGACTATTATATATGTGTATATATGTATATATACACACATGTTATACACACATGTGTATATATGTTCATATGTACATGTATGTATATATACATACACACATGTGTATGTACATACATATATACACACATATATATACACACACACAAAATTAGAATAAAAGTCAAGGGCACACAACATAAAGTTCTTTGTGGAAGGTGGTTAACATGGTAGTGTCTTGATTTGATTATCACATACTGCTCACGTGTTGAAAAAAAACACATTATGTCCCACAACGATGGACAACTGAATAAAAATAAGAAATTATAAAACTAAAAAAAAAGTGGATAAGGAAAAAAGGGCAGGGGTGTTGGGAGACAGGGTCTGTAGTGCAAGAATATGGAACAAAGGTTAATTACCTAAAACAGAAGTGAAAAAAGTAATGTAACTGGGGGCCAGCAGATGGCGTAACGGTTATGTCACTGGACTCCCATGAAGTCGACCGAGGTTCGGTCCCAGATCTGAAGGCTTCAAATTCACACTAGGTGCATGTGTGTATGTGCCCAAAATCCTAAGGGGAGAATGAGGAGAAGGGATTGTAGCATGGCAATCCCCTGTCAGGGGTGATTTCTCCCTTTCCGTTTCGGTCTCTCTGGCCAGTGCACGTGGCCTATGGCAAAAATCTCTCTTTAAAAAAAAAAAAAGAAAGAAAGAAAGAAAAGAGGGCCTCTAGGGGCCAGCAGGTGGTGGGGCAGGGGCTTTGGCCAGTTTGTCCAGGTGTGCACCAAACTGCAAACGGCAGTCATCAGGTGGGGCTGGGCATAAAGGGCAGAGACAATCTGTCTGCAACTGCTGCTCAGCTCAGCTCAGCTGGAGGAAACCCAGCTGTTTCCCTAGCAACCAGGGGCCTCTCAGTACAAATGTGCAGCTCTCCCCAGGAAATGGAAACTGCGGGGGCTCCCCCACCCCTGTGGAGCGGGGAAGACACACACTTCTACCACACGATCAGGCTGGAAGCCAGCTCTGGGTTTCCCCAAGCCTGCAGGACAATGGGGGCAGAGGGCAAGGGAACCCCAAGGCTAGCAGAGAAAGGAGGGCTGAATGAGGCCCAGGAAGTCAGCTGACAAAAAGGGAGGGAGGCCAGAGGCCTGTCACCTGCGCCTCCAGCCTTGAAGAGTTCTCTTTTGGCCTTGTTGCTGGAAACTTCAGGTGCTGGCTGCAGCCCAGGCCTATCTGGATGAGAGTCCCTTTCCAGCGAGAGAAGGCACAGAGGAGAGGCCTCCAAGGCTTTGGGAAAATACTCTCTCAGCTCTTAAAGCAGTTTCCGTGCGCCTTACGTGAGTACATGTTTTGCGTACGTGGAAAGCAAGCTTTTCTTCCAGCAGTAGGTGTTCAGATTGTAGTTCAAAGAGCCAGTCTCCCTGCAGATTCTAGCAGCCCTTCCTGAGACTTCAGGGAAACCCCCAAGCTAATCATGGACATGCCATTTACCCTGTCTTTAAGAGGCTCTCTGGGGGACCAGCAGATGCATGATGTTACATCTCTGGACTCCTACATAGTAGAACAGGGCGTAGGTGCATGCATGCCCAAAATCCCAAGAAAAGAATGGAGAAGGGACTGCGGTGTGCTCACCCACTCTGGGGAGTGATACCTTGCTTTCTGTCTTTCTCTGGTGAGTGCGCGCATCCTATAGCAAAAATCTCTCTTTAAAAAAAAAAAAAAAAAAAAGATGGACCTGGGGGGCCAGCAAGTGGGGAGACAGGCTGGCAGGTTGTGTAGTGGTTAAAGGTGCTGGATTCCTACATGGCTGCCTGCAGTTCAAGTCCTGGACCCAGTGGCTTGAAAGTCACAACAAATATATAAATAAATATTTCTTTTTAAAAAAGAGGGCCTCTAATCCCTTCCAGGACAACCCACATCCTACTTCTCAGGTTGGCTGAATGTCATGTAGCCAATGTGTTTGAATCTAGAAAGGCCCTTAATGATCTTCACTCCAAGCCCCTTATTTTCTAGAGGGGGTAAATAAAGGAAGCTCAGGGAAGGAAGGTAACTTGCCAGGAACAACACTTTGTTCCCCAGTCCAGGGTCCTAACAGGTTCTGCAGTTTCAGGCCTGGCTGCAATGCGACACTGGGAAGGGCCCACAGGAAAAAAATCCAAGGTTCTGGCTCCTGTTTGTTCTATGTGACCTCACACAAGCCAGGTCTCCTCCTTGGTCCTATTTCTTCATCTCTATAATGGGAACACCGATATCTATCACCCCCTCTGGGAAGAGCCATAGTGGGTATAACTTTTATATATCAGGCAGGGGAATAAGGGGAGGGAGAAATACCATGACCTACCCACCCGATCTGCCCCTCTTGGTCTGCCCCTCTTGTACTGATACTTTGTTGTGAAAATCCCTGGTTGAAAGTACTTTATATTGAAAGGGATATGCAATTAGAAGAAAAACTGGTTTTTCCACCTGAGGGAGAAGGCGGTCCATTGGACCCCTACCTGGATAGGACAGAATGAGCACGTATTAGATTTACTTTGTTTTACTATCAGCTACCCACAATGTACTGAGCTGGAAAACTGCTCATCAAATATGAAATACTAGAATCAGATAACCTGGAGGGTCTTCCTTTGAAGTATGGATCAAGGTGAACAGCCTCCATCTACTAAGAAGGATGAATAACATCTCCACAACACCAAGGCAGCCAGGTGGCAGTGAACCCCGTGGGGATTCAAAGCAAGGAGAAATTTCTCCTTGCTTTCTTTTCTTTTCTTTTTTTTTTTTTTAAGAGGTTTTTGCTATAGGGTGCGTGCGCTTGCCAGACAGAGAGAGAGAGACAGAGAGACAGAAAGCGAGAAATCACCCCCCCCCAGGGGGGATGGCCACGCCGCAATCCCTTCTCCATCTTCTCCATTCTCCTCTCAGGATCTTGGGCATGCACACACACGCGCCCGGCGTGAGTTTAAGTCACTGGGTCCAGGACTCGAACCACGGTTGACTACATGGGAGTCCAGCGACATAGCCATTATGCTAACTGCTGGCCCCTCTCCTTGCTTTCTAGAAGAAGCAGCATTTCAATCCAGCTGAGGATGGTGGTTCTCAACCTCATGCATGTAAGAATCACCTAGGAAAGGGGGGATGGCCACGCCGCAATCCCTTCTCCATCTTCTCCATTCTCCTCTCAGGATCTTGGGCATGCACACACACGCGCCCGGCGTG